TACAACCCTAGCAGGGGAGATAGCCCTGTCTAGGCCGAGGCTCAGGAGACCACTACTTAAAAACCCTAATCAGGGGAGCAATCATTGAGCTAGTGCATAGGGGGACCAACTGAAACTGCCCAGACCACAAAGAGTGGGCTGTCTACTTACAACCCTAAGAGGGGAGACAGCACTGTCTAGGCAAGGGCTCAAGGAGACCGCTACTTAAAAACCCTACGTAGGGGATCAATCATTGAGCTGGCACATAGCTATCCTCAGATAGCTCGCTTGTTGATAGCCGGCCACCTTTTATCACACTCCTCTGCATCTCTAATAGTAAGGAATCTTGAACTTTCGTTCATTCAAGTCAAGATATTTATTTGTATAGCATCCACAATACACATTTTTTCAAAGCAGCTTTACAGTAAGTTATTCTGTTTCATCTAGCTTAATGCTGCTTTAATAGTAAGCCGTTTCTGGGCAATATTACGATATATAATGATGATACATGATCCACCGTTTGAGATCTAGCTATATTGCATTTATTCTTTTAGTAGATATATCAGTACCACTGTAGTGAACGAGACTGAATACTATGTAATAAATATCTGAGCATTTTTTATAAGAGATTATATATTATTCAGTTTAATTCTAAATTCAAGCTGTTTTCGAAAAAAATAATTAATATAAAATGGTCAGCCTTTTCTGTGATGATTTGTGTTTGTTTACACTGTGTGCTCCTGAGCATGTCCTAAAATATGGCGACTGTTACACAGAATACAACCGGCTGTGACGTAGATACCCATTCTCTATGGGGTTTTATAATGGAGTTATGAGTAAAATAAAGCCTCTGGTAAAGTGAAGTGAAAGTGACATGTGGCCAGGTATGGTGACCCATACTATGAATTTGTGCTCTGCATTTAACCCATCCATGTGCGCTCACACACACCCAGAGCAGTGGGCAGCCATATTGCTGCGGCGCCTGGGGAGCAGTTGGGGGTTCGATGCCTTGCTCTAGGGTCTCACCTCAGTCGTGGTATTGAGGGTGGAAGAGAGCGCTGGTCATTCACTCCTCCCACCAACAATTCCTGCCGGACCTGAGACTCAAACCCACAACCATCGGGTTACAAGTCCTACTCTCTAACCATTAGGCCACGACTGCCCCTTAACATAACTTGACAATACTTTGACATTTTGTTCTACAGCGTAAACTACACACACTCACACCTAGGGTTGGGTACCGAAACCCAGTGCCATTAAGGCAGCAGTACCTATATAACCGGTATGTACCGGACCGAATCAAAACGCAGATTTCGGTGCCACTTAAATGCCTGAGCGATCGATTTAAATATTTGTCCTCTGGTTCTCCGAAACGGACGTAAGAAGCATCATCACTGGCACCGCATTTGAAAAATAATTTCTGGACTGAGAAAATGCACGTGAATGCAAGTCGGAAAGCTCTGATAAAACAAATCTAGCAAATCTTTGTAGTGAGTGTCCATGTTGTTTTCACATTCTGACTTAAAAGCCCAACTTGGGAAATGAGACAATCCGAGGAGCATGTGAATGCAAAAATTACACTTGCTCTGACGGCAGCAGGTAGCCTACCGTTAGCTAGCTAAGCTAAACATGCTTAAATTAAAATGCCTAAAGTTAAACATTCTAAAGTGTGGCTGTATTTCACAACAAAGGATTCTGACACTGTGACATGCAAAAAATGTCTTTCTACAATTGTGTGTAAAGGGTGAAACATGTCAAACCTTTTGAAACATTTGAGGACACACGGGATGAACTTAAAAGCAGAGGGATGCACCGGGTTCAACAGCTTGCAGACATCAGCTGGCAGTGTGGGCATCCCCGGCCCCAGTCAGACCAGCCCTAGCAAAGTGGAGGCCATTGATTATGACGACGACAGCAACCTTTCCGCAGGTTAGTAGACTAATGTAATATTCATTGTAAAATGCAAATCTTGCATTTATGCTAACAAATGATTTGTAAAATATTTAACATGAATTGTGTTTATCATTTTGGCTCGCCAGCTAGTAGTACTAGTAGTACAGTGAACCCATTCACCTTGGCAAAGAAGGCTCTATTGACAAAGGAGAAGTTTATTTAATACAGAGAGATGACCACTGCCCTTAATCCTCACTACCACCCACCATCCAGGGATGATCTGTCTAACACTCTTATTCCTGCATGGTACTCTGTTGAGAAACAAAATATTATTCAGGAGTTAGCACAAGTGAGTAAGGCTGTTATTACATGTGATGGGTGGACCAGTGTGGCACAGAACCACTATTTAACAGTTACTGTGCACTGCAGTGATGGCCACAATAAGCAGAAGGGGCTATACACCAAAGCTGTGTATGAGTCACAAACAGACCTCCATGGTGGTAGACAAGATAAATTGCATTCTCCAGGAGTTCCAGATAAAGTTACACTAAAGTTGTAGCTGCCACAGTAGACAACGCCAGCAATATGGATGTTGCACTGAAGAATCTGAAGCTTTTAAAGGTTGGGTGCTTTGCCCATACCCTAAACCTGGCAGCACAGAAGGTTTATAGCATCAGTGCCATTACAAAGTGGTGTGCCAGACTTCGAGCTATTGTGGTGTGGCTGAAGAGGTCCTCCGTAGCTAAGACCATCCTGCGGGAGAAGCAGCAACTTCTCAGTAAGTACTAGAGTAGCCTTATAAATCTTAAAACTTATGTTTGTTTCAAACATCTTCAGAAGATTGTCATTCAAAATGTACATTTGTGTTTCAGATCTGCCAGAACACAACATCATTCTGGATGTCAGAACAAAGTGGAACTCCCTTTTCCCGATGGTGGAGAGATTTTTGGAGCAATACCCGGCCATCCAGGCAGCATCACTTGACCAATGGGGAAAGACAAGTGATAGACATGAATATCAATTGTAAAACAATGAGTAACAACATAATAGTTGATATGTTATTCTTATATCTTATTTTTCCCTTAGACTGAAAAGGCTCACAGACAATGACTTCCAGAAAGCAGAGGATTTGAAGTTGTTGTATACCTCAACCCTCTGTGTATCCATTGAGAAGTTCCCCACATGGGGCCAAATTCTCCCCATACTGACACTCTGTTTACCAGTGCTTTGAAAGAGAAGGTCTGGGGAGATCTGCAAAAAACAATATCAGGTATTTTCCAGTTAGACACTAAATATTTTGTCATGTTTTTATTACAGGATGAAGACATTCAGAAGGTCCTCCAGCAGGTCACTTTGATGGACCCTTGCTTCAAAGGCAAACTTGCAGATGTTGTTGCTGATGCTGCTTGGGGCCGGTTGGAGAAAGCAGCAGTTTGCAATGTAACAGAAGGACAGGTATTTAATGCTCTGCTTTGCTTACCATATGTGGTATGTTACAGTTTTTATGATGAAGTCTTGCTATTTATATGTGCAACATTATTTGTACAGCTTCCAATGGAGGGCCTTCAGGACATTGATGAAGAAAGATTGGAAGACAATAAAGAGGACAAGGCAGAGGAACAATTAAGTTTATAATCTTAGAATAGGCTATTTTTGTCTAAACACCTACTTTTATGTATTTTTTCATCTCACAAGAAGCGTGCCAAGAAGTCAGCCCTAGAAGAGCTGTTTGAGGATGAGGACCGAGAGCTACTTCAACTAATGAGGGCAACGGCAACTAAAAGTGGTGCCCTCTACATAGCTGAACAGGTCCAGAAAGAGATTGAGATCTACACATGTCTACCTTCAATCCCATCAGGACAAGACCCTGTAGCCTGGTGGTGGGGGATGCGGGACATCCTCCCCATATTGTCTGCACTTTCAAACACATACCTGTGTGTTCAGGCCTCATCAACACCATCTGAGAGGGTTTTCTCTTGTGCAGGACATGCAATAAGTCAGGAGAGGTGTCGTATTTTGCCAGAGAAGGCAAATATGATCATATATCTGCAAAAGAATTGCTGAAATTTTGAAGCTGGTTTGTAGTATACCAAGAATATCAACTACTTTGCTGTTATTGGTGTTAAAGTATTGTAGTTGGGTTGGGTGGTATGTAAATTTGTTGTTTTTTGTATTTAATTATATTTATGTATACTTTAAACTTTTAATAAATTGTTTATTTTAAATATATTTTTCTTTAAAAAAAGCAGTTCTTTAATGTTATCCACCATTTTTTGTGGCTCTTTTTTTTTAAAGTATCGGTTCAGGCACCGTTACCGGTACTGTTTTAGAATTATCGATTCGGCACCGGTATCATAAAAAATCCAAACGATACCCAACCCTACTCACACCATTGGTGCGTCTGAAATCGCATCTGAGTAGGTACTAAATTTACATTTTAATTTTAATTTACTTCACGACCGTTAAAAAGAACGTTCTATATACTATGAATATGGGTATGAATGAAATTCCAACATACTACATCTGCCATGTTGTTACTGTCACATGACCTACCAGCGTCAGTTGTGTCGCTTCACTGCCATTCATAAATCCTCTCCCGTGGCCTATTGGGATTGTAAAGTGTCCATCTAATGCACACTTCAGAATCCGGGCGGTAGAAGTAGGTCATCCGGGTACTTTTCACCTACTGTTTTTCGAATACGATGAATTCTGACATACTCCCCTCACTTACTTTTGCCTCACATACTTTTGTTGTATGACTTCTGCCTACGATATAAGGAAGTATGCGATTTTGTATGCACACATGTCTACCAAACACTTAGAAACATATATTTAAAAAAAAAAAAGCATAACTGCTTCAAAATTCACGTTTTCTGTATGGGTGTGTGCAGTTTATGTTGTAGAACAAAACGTCAAAGTATCGTCAAGTTATGATCACTACAGGCTTTATTTTACTCAGAAACTGAAAAACCTCATAATAAAACCCTGTAGAAAAATCTTGAAGGAACCAGCGGCAAATTAGTCTTCCAGGTTCTGACTTCATATGCTCTACTCTATTACTCAGGAAGTAATACTACAGTCTTAACTAATTGATCAGCTTATGTTAAATGATTGAACACCTTACGTACCCCAAACAGTGAGTGTGTACGTCTCTGGGAACCCACTCCGCAGCGCCTCATAATCTGTGCTCTTGTAACGGCACTGATAAACACCCTGGTCAAAAACACTTACTGACGTGATGCTCAATGAGAAGATACCGCGACTGATGTCATGTTTGGGCGGTAATTTCATGATGCTGTAATCAATACCGACGTCCATCTTTCCAGAGCTCAACCGCAGGATTTCTCTGTTATCTTTCAGCCATTGAACATAAATGTCTTCCCATGGTTTATTTTTAGGAATATTTCCAAAGCACTCCAAAGTGATATCGTCACCCTCAAACGCTTCCACATAATTGGTGAAAAACGCTGGTGCTGCAGAGACACAAGAGAGATTTACGTTGCACTTTTTCTACCTCTTGAAGTTTTTACTACAGGAAGATTGATATTATGAAGTCAGCAAGACTCTTTATTTTCTTAGACATAAAGGTTCTAAAAATGTTTTGATTTCAGAAAGATCTGATTTCAAAGGAGAACCTTTTTATGTTCTTTGGTGTTGTGACCCAAAATCTATTTAATCTAATTTTAAATGAAGTTTATTTTTTAAACCAAACAGCCAATTCACAAACCCTGTACAATTCACTTTTTTGTTTAATTAAAATTATTATTATTTTTAAACCAACAGCCAATCCACAAACTCTATATTATGAAAATGGTTCATGTATAAGTTCTTCACTGCAGATATTTATTGAGGAACCTTAATTTTTAAGAATTTCATTCTCAGGAATTGGTGCCATTTGTGTTCCCACAAATTACTACTGATGTAATTAACAGGATACTGAACTTAGTCACATTTATTGATACATTGAACTCTACTGGTGTGTAATGGAAAAAAAATCCCTCTAAAATAAAAATAAAAAATGTATCTCTCTCTCTCTCTCTCTCTCTCTCTCTATATATATATATATATATATATATTAGTGCTGTCAAATCGATTAATTGCATCCAAAATAAAAGTTTGTTTACATAATGTGTGTTACATAATAAACATGTATATTTATATGTTTACATAAATGCAAAGACATATATTTAAGAAATATGTACATGTATATACATATATACATATATTCATATTTATATATGATTTATATTATACATAAATATAAATATTAATTACATATATTTCATATACATATAAATATACACCGGCACACACATATTGCAATTAATCGATTTGACAGCACTTATATATATATAAACACATTTGTTGACGACTAATCTATAATAATGATGGTTCCTCAATATTTGTGGCAGTTATGGACCTGCTACTTTTGGCCTGAGGTGGGAAAATATGATTTCTTGAAAGTTCAGAAGTACCTTTTTGCAAATTGAACAATAAATATTAATTAAGGTCCTGTTTCCTGAGATAAAAAAAAATAATAATAATATATATTTTTTTACATTTACAACTAGTAATTGACAACTCTGAATTGTAAGTTACTGCCATACTTACTCGACACCTGTAGTAATACAGAGCAAATGGGTTTTGTTCCCTCCCAGAGACATTCATATATCTCTCCATCATTCAGCATCACATCTGACAGAATGAGGGAAAAGTCCTCAGATTCTGTAGGATCACTGAGGAAGTTCACCCGGTCTTCAAACCCTCTCCCGACCATGACAACATCACGCAGAGAGATGACGTCTTTGCCCATCGCCTCCCAGTGAACGTGCAGCTCTTCCACAGGGAATCCTGAACCATTGCAGGACAAGATAACGCTTTCTCCTAGATATGCCTGGACCTCTGACGTCTGAAGGTAGAAACCTAGACAGACTGGATGAAGAAATGCATTAATGCTGATAAAGCTGGTTAAATATGAAAGAAAAATAATGACAAATATCTTTGAAACAAAAAAAGCATGTTGAATTGCACTAAGTGAAAAATAATGCATTGCATTATCAGTGCTTGCATTAATGGCTTGTATTTTCAGGGCTTGCATTTTAGGGGCTGAAATTCAGCATAGTTGTTTATTTAAGTTTTTAATATTTCAATTCAAAACATTTCACACACATTTTCATATTTAAAAATTCAATAATCCATATTCACCTCGCAGAGTTCACTTCCAGAGAAATATTCAATCTATTTAAAAATATGATTTATAATATTCAACAGGCAATTTTTGATTATATTTTATGTCACTTTACAAATTCGCTTCCAAAAATTCATTAGTTAAAATTGACCTATAGGTAAGCCCCGCCCCCCTTAGTTACTGTTGCAAACTCAGACAAACAAACGCTCTGGTTACTAATGTAACCTCGGTTCCCTGAGATAAGGGAACGAGTGTTGTGTCGCTTGACGCTAATGGGAAACTCCTGTTTCTCTGTTACTGAAGCCTGATTTGTTAATGTTTGTGTAGCTGCACAAACCAGTGGTGCTCGATCCCGCCAGAAGGGGCAGTGCTGACCGCTATATAAGTTGGCTTGGAGTTCCATCTCATCATTCGACTGAAGCGACAGCCAACAATTCGCGTGCAGCTTATAGCACGGCATGCAATACTCGTTCCCTTATCTTAGAGAACCGAGGTTATGTTTGTAACCAGAGTGTTCCCTTTCGAACAGGAACTCAAGCCCAACTCTGGAGCACTCATTAGAGGGCCCCTTAACCCTGAGCTACAGAAGAGACCGTCGTAAATCTGAGGTCTACTTAACTAAGTCCTTCCACTCAAAGCGGGAATGGGTAGATTCAAGCAGAAAAGACATGCGCCTGCATAGCAGGGACGTACAAATTGTAAAGTCTAGCGAAGGTAGACGGCGACGACCAGCCGGCAGCCACACAAATCTCCCCGATATAAATCCCACTGGACCACGCCCAGGAGGCGGAATGGGCCCTCACGCCTATAGGGCATTGCAAGCCAACTGCGGCATGAGCCAGGGCTATAGCATCTACTATCCAGCGACATTTTATAGCCCCTTAGAGCAGCCTCCAAAGCACACAAAGAGCTGCTCTGATTGTCTGAACAACCCAGAGCACTCAACATACACTCTAAGTGTCTAAACAGGACACAGCAAGTTGGGACCCTGGTCGCCATTCTCTGTAGGGAGAGCTAACAGTGAAATAACCTGGGCTGTAAACGGAGTTAAGAGAACCTTAGGTACGTAACCGCTTCGCAGTTGTAGAACGACTTTACAGTCATTAGGCCCAAATTCAAGACAGGATGTGCTGACTGACAGCGCTTGAAAGTCACCTACTCATTTGACCGATGCCAAGGCCAAAATCAGAGTGGTTTTGAGTGACATGGGCTGCAGGCCAGCCATTTGAAGTGGCTCAAAGAGAGGGCCCTTGAGGGTCCTCAGGACTATAGACAAGCCCCATATCGGCACAGTTCTAGGGCGAGGTGGGTTCAGTCTCTGAGCTCCCCTTAGAAACTTAATGACTAGGTCTTTTCTGCTGAATGGGTGGCCAGCCATGAGAGAATGATTCACCACGATGGCTGCCACATAAACCTTGAGTGTTGAAGGGGTACAGCCCTTGTCCAACAACTCCTGAAGGAAGGTTAACATGTGGGACACGTCACAGGAATACGGATCCAGACTTCGTGCTGAATACCAGTCACAGAAGACTGGCCATTTAAGAGCATAAAGACAACTTGTAGACAGAGCTCTAGCCTCCAGAATGGTATTAGTGTCTCTTGTGGGGAGCTGGCTAGACTCCCATCGAGGGGCCAAACATGAAGGCTCCACAGCTGCGGCCGGGGATGCCAAATCTTGCCCTTCGCTTGAGAGAAGGTCTCTCCTCGGTGGTATTGGCCATGGGGCTGCAGACAGCAGCTGAATCAGCTCTGGGAACCAAGTTTGGTTTTTCCAGAGTGGGGCCACTAGGAGGAGTGAGAAATTTGTTTCCCTGACCCGCCTGATAACCTGAGGAAGCAGGGCGATTGGAGGGAAGGCATACAAACGTGTGTTGGGCCAATTGTGGGCCAGAGCATCCCGTTGTCTTGAGAAATAGATTGGGCAGTGATAGTTGTCTTCGGAGGCGAAGAGGTCCACCTCTGCCTTGCTGAAGACAGACCAAATCATTTGAACCGACTAGTCTCCATTCCCCTGGAACTACATTGTCCCTGGAAAGCATGTCTGCTCCCTGGTTCAATTTGCCCGGCACATGAACCACTCGTAATGAGAGGAGCTCTGTGCCCAGAACAGGAAAAATCCTGTAAACCAGGACGTGGTGCCCCTTTAAGGCTGGCAGGAAGGTTTTCAGGGCCAGAGAGACTGCCATAATTTTGAGGTAGTTGATATGTAGGCGTCGCTCGTGGATCGACCAGCCGTACGCCGGGTTGCCCTTGTACAGAGCACCCCAGTCCGAGATGGAGGCGTCTGATGTGACTACCTTCCTTCTGGAGATCATTCCCAACTGAATGCCTGATAAGAACAGGCGAGGAGTTGTCCAGGGGGCCACAGCTCTGAAACAGCGATTGATTACTCTGATATATCACCGGCCCAGGCACTAGCCGTGGGACCAACATGAGTTTTGACCCAATATTGGAGGGGCCGCATGTGTAGCAGGCCCAGGAGAATCACAGAGGAGGCGGTCGACATGAGGCCGAGCAACTTCTGAAACATCCTGAGGGAACACGTAGTTCCTAACTTAAACGATACTTAGCACCAGCCAGTCGTCGAGGTAGTTCAAGATGCGGATTCCCATCTGTCTCAGAGGAGAAAGAACCGTGTCCATGCTCTTTGTAAAAGAGCAAGGGGCCAGGGACAGTCCGAATGGTAGGACTGTGTACTGATATGCCACTCCCTCAAATGCGAATCGCGAGAACGGTCTGTGATGGGGGGCTATTTGGATGTGAAAATATGGATCTTTAAAATCCACAGACAGAAACCAGTCCTCGGGGCATATTTGGGCAAGTATCTGTTTCAAAGTTAACATTCTGAACGGCTGTCGTATGAGAGCATGATTCAGATGTATGAGAATTGGTCTGAGCCCGCCATCTTTCTTGGGAACGAGGAAGTAGCAGTTGTAAAAAACGGACTCACTGTTTGTTAAAGGGACCGTTTCTACGGCACCTTTTGCAAGCAGTGTTTGTACTTCGGACCGAAGAACATGAGCTTTGTTGTCCCGTACCAAAGTCTGAACCATGCCTCTGAAATGAGGCAGCCTGCGAGTGAGCTGGAGCGAGTAACCTTGTTTTATGACTTTTAGAATCCAGCGTGACACACCTGGGATGGCTTTTCAAGCCAAAAACCGGGCGGCAAGCGGTTCCATTCTTACTAATGGCAGTTCACCCTGTGGGGACGAGGAACTGACATTCATGATTGCAGGGAAAGGAGAAATGCTCTTTGAGTATGTGGGTCCTCTATCACAGCAGTAGTTTGCTGGGGCACACGCTGAGCTTGCAGGACGTGCCCAGCTAAAATCCTCCACCACTCAGAATTATTCGAAGAGGTGGGGAATAATCGCAAGCATTCTTCGAGGGAGTTCCGGCCTTGACGAAAATTGACCATCTCCTATTCCTCTCAAAGTGTTTTTCAGCGGGAGAAACCTGCCCCCATAGGCACAGCTTCAGCGTGGCCCAGACTAATTCAAATCTGACGCTGTCAGTGATAATTCTCATCAGTCCACCTAAAAAAGATCAAACCTCTCGTTAGACGAGGGCCGTTGATCCTCACGTGTAAAACACACCAGCGGATCAGAGTGCTGTACACATTATCCGCTTAGGATAAAACTGCTTGTTGCAGACAAGGGGCACTAATCCTCACATGTAAACACACTGGCGGATCAAAGTGCTGTGGAAAGAGTGAAGCACATGGGACCTGTGCCAGCGTGCGATTACTCAAGCCTGATCACTCAACCCATGAGTTCGCCGTTTCTTCCTCCAAGACAGCTGGGAGGGGAGAAACGGGAGAGTGGGAGCGGCAGGGTTGCCTTCATTGTCGCTTCAAACACAAGCTCTTGTAGTAAGAACGATCTATCTCAGTGAGCGCAGCCTCAGCGTGAGCGTGGCCCAGGCAAGCGGTGCACTCGAATTTGAAGCTGTCAGCATTATGGAATTATTGGTGACAGCATTGTCCTTTGATCCGCCTAAAAATCAAACCGCTCGATGCAAACGAGGGACGCTGATCTTCACATGTAAAACACACTTGCAGATCAAGGTGCTGTGGGGAGAGTGAAGCACCCGGGACCTGTGCCGGTGTATAATCACTCAAGCCTTATCACTCAATCTGTGAGTTCACCATTTCTTCCTCCGAGGCAGCTGGGAGGAGAGAAGTGGTAGAGTGGGAGGGGCGGGGTCGCCTTCATTGAAGAAAGCAATCCGCGAGCGCAGCAGGAACAGACTTGTAGCGAAAGCACTCTATCTCAGTGAGCGCAACCTAGTGTCAAGCTGTCAGTGATACAGAACATCGGTGACAGCATTCTACTCCAATTCGCCTAGAAGAATTGAACCACTTGATGTTATGAGGGGCGCTGATCCTCACTTGTAAACACACCGGCGGATCAAAGTGCTGCGGAGAGAGTGAGCACGCGGGACCTGTGCCAGCGTAAGATCACTCAAACCCTTTTGCTCAGCTCTGTGACTCCACAGTTTCTTTCTCCGAGCTCGCTGAGAGAGGATAAACGGAGAGCGGGGCTACCTTCATTGAAGAAGGTGGTCCACGAGCAGAGAAATGCGAGATTCATGCTCTCGGTAAGAGCATTCCGTCTCAGTGAGCGCACATTCTCTGCACGGGCACTGCCCAGACATGCGACACACTCACTGTGCCCTTCTGCATCTTGCAGGGGTTCCCTGCATGAGCCACACTAGTGGTGCGACATTTGCAACAACATCGGTAGGAAATTTGCTCTTTTGAAGTGCCAGATGACCGCAGGGGAAGGTTTCTCGCTTATTCCTCTGCCAGGGCTCTTCTACTGCAGAGAGCTTCAGGCTGAGCTTCTTCCTTCTTTAGCTTCTTGATCGCAGAGTCAGTGAAGAGATGGTCTCGTCGCTGAAGGAGAAGATTCTGATGAGATGGCGCTCCGAGGCCGACTCATATAGCGGTTGGCTCCGCCCCTTCTGGTGGGCTCGAGTGCCATTAGTTTGTGCAACTACACAAACGTTAACAAATCAGGCTTCAGTAACAGAGTAAACATGAGTTTCCCATTAGCGTCAAGCGATGCAACAGGAGTTCCTGTTCGATAGGGAACGGAGTTGGTAATTGTCTTACTATGACAGCTGTCAGTGTGAAAACCTTGTCCTAAGATGTTTTTGATTAATTATGGACCACTATTCAAGTGTGACTTAAATATGCCATAGAGGGATTCATAAAAATGTTAACATAAATATTGTGGGTATTAATTTGGAAGCGAGGGTTTACAGATCACAATGCAAGTGGGAAGAAGGCCACGTTACGGTCATCATGATCACAGATGACAACATCCAGGATCCATGTACCTTGCAATTCAGCATTGCAGACCTGGAAACTGCTGGAATAGCAGTAGAGAACTAATGCATGATCT